TCCAAGTTTAATAGAAAGAAGAGCCTCGCTACTGGGAATATATACACAATTCCTTCGCTCAGACGCATTATTTATCAAGCTAAAATGACAACATGTCCCATGCAAATATTTAAAAAAGGTAAACTTGCTATAGTAAAACACAAGTCATAATGATGATCGCAACAATACAGCAATAATATGCCGTTTCTTTTCACAAAGTATCGCAGCCTGACACTCTTGTCGTTCGAAAGCTTCCATATTGGTTTAGTCAGAAAGATGTTCACTCCTCGACAGTCAACAGTCAATGAAGTCACGCGCGGAATTAGGCGCTCAATACCCATGATGCTTTGCGGCCTGCTGTTCAACCTCCTCTGAAATTTCCCTGAAGTACACTTATTTAACGGAAGTTGTCGTCTTCTCCGCAGGCTTTTCGACTACGCGCGCAGCTCGACACAAAATGGGAAAAAAATAGGAGCCGAAGTTATGACCTCGGTTTCGTACCGACCCGAGGTAAAAAGCAATTTTGAGTGGAACGCCAAGTGCAGTTTGGAATATTTTTCAAAAATCACTCGTACAGTTAATCATTAAGTCATATTAACTCATTGTCTCGAGATTTTCTATAATAATAATCAAAATACTTTTGGCCAACATTTTCAATTATAAAATCTCATATTTAGGCATTTTCTGTCCTTTCTGCAATGAAACAGCAAGATGTTAGGAAAAGAAAGAAATTGATGAGTATTTACCAAAATGTGCAAGAGATCCTGGAAAAGTGTGATGAAAAACTTCTCATCCAACTTAAAGCCTATTTTGGTTTTGACGTTAAAGGAGAAATTCAGACGAAAATTAGCCAGCTTGATATTAAAGAGCATACCGTTCTATTTGCAGGTAATAAATTAATTAACTAACGTTACTATTCCACGGAAGTGGAAGTGAATAGTGTAAGAATTTCCAAGCCAATTCAACGCTGTATTTTTGAAAGGCTTTAATACAGTTATCGCTTTAAATATTCGTAAAGTTGGCCCTGAGGTATGACAATTTCCGTATACGCTAAGTTTTCAATTGTAATTCGCGCTTGCGTACTACGTGGGCCGTACGGAAATTGCCATAACTTAACGATTTCAGGTATCTTCAAACCAATAAATGTATCGAAAGCCATCAAAAATACCACATTACATTATAACACACACGGATAACAGAGAAAATTAATCATGAAAGTTGCAATTGTATTTCGTGTTTGCGTAAACTGAGTAGGCCGTACGAAAATTGTATATTTAAACTGATAATTTCGTTGAAAACCCGTTGGTATATTTAAACGGATGACTGCATTGAAAAGATCTTCAAAAATAGCACATTACAGTGGCATAAAATGGGATTAATGCACGACCGAATAACAAAGAAAATTATTTATGAACGTAGCAAGGGTTAGGATATTAATTCTGCATGAAAAATACAAATACCACTCGATATGCCCTCATATCCGCATTTCACCCCCCCCCCATCCGTCCGTCGGCATTTTACCCTCCCATCCGTCCGTTCGTCCGTATTTTACCCTCCCCTTCCATCCACATTTTACCATCTCATCCGCCCGCATTTTACACTTTCATCCGTCCGACCGCATTTTACCCTCTTATCCGTCCGTCCGCATCCGCGTTTTACCTTAACCTGTTTCTGTTACTGTACATGTCACAACACACACATTTTATACAATCTTTGACTGACATTAGGGGTCAAATTTTTGCAACAGCCACTTCTTTAAATGTCACTGTCGACTTTTTTTGTTGTTTTTGAAGCTTATACTGTTGTTTAGCGGCGAAATTTCCTGCCGCACGATAATATTTTAATGCGTATTAAACTATTATGCCGAAAAACAATGGATAACTCAATTGACATTGCAATTTGTGGTTTTATGTTAATGCGGCGAATAAATTTCACTCACATAGCAAATCAATTTTTACATTGTCATTGGCGTGTTAATTAAATTCAACCATCTTGCAATTCCATTCACCAATGTAAATAATCATGTATACAGCTATTTCAATTAAGGTTGTCCCCCGAGCAAAGCGGAAAAGTCGAATACGAGCGCGAAAGGCTGCCGGGAATCGCGAATAAATGCCTTTCGCTCTCGTATTCGACTTTTTCGCTTTGCTCGGGGGACAACCTTAATTGAAATAG